AGAATGACCTAAAAGATAATGTATAGAGATAGGCCATGTCCATGAAAGGAACATATCAATAGTGAAAAGATAAAAAGTCTCCTCTAATTAACCTTTAGATTCAATGTAAATTATACCAGGAATTTTCATAGGAAGGGATAGATCCTAAAATTCATGTTGAAGACTAAAGCATCAAGAACAGCCAAGACAGTTTTAGGGGAAAAGGGTAAGAAGAGAAGATTTATTATAAAGCTTTAATAATTAAATGAAATGGTATTAGCTCAGGAATCACAAAAAGATGAGTAGAACAGAGAGTCAAGAGACAGATCCAAGGATATAACAGAAATTAGCCTATGTCAGAGATGGCAACAAAATAAGTGAGAAAATAGTAAACTATTCATGAAATGATAATGGGGTAAATGGTTTTCAATATGGAAAACAATTACACCCCTGCCTCAACAACACAGATATATAAATTTCAGAGGAGTTCAAAGACCCAACTATGAAAAACAAAATTTTGCCAGTAAAAAAATGAATGGCAAGACACAAAAAAGAAAACTGTAAAACTATATTAAAACTATATATTAAAAAGATAATCTCTAAGGGAAATGCAAAGTAAAAGAGCAGTGAAATACATTCCATGCTTCTCAGATTAGCCCAAATCAAAACATCTGATTAATACCAGTCACAGCCAAAGATATGGGAATACAAGGAACTCCAACACAATGTAGTAGGAGGGCAACCTGCCAAACCTAGGAGAGCTAAAATAACAGATGAATGTTGATTTAAGCATACATATCCTACTACCCAGTTATTCACCTTCTGAGGATATATGCCCAAGACACACTCTTGTACATTTCTACAAGATCTTGTCAAGGATATTCCTTGAAATATATTTAATAATAGCAAGAGATAGAAAAATCTTTTATTCATCAATATATAAACTGTGGCATAGCAAAGGAATGCTAAGCTAAAATGAATCAACTAGATTTACAATGATCAATATATGTTATCAACACATGTAAAAAAAGGTGAAAAAAAAATCACAAAAAATAGTTAGGACGGGTATCCATAACATGGTGTTTTAAACACATAATAAAACTAGTAGGCACACTGAGTCCCAACATTGCAGGTTGAATGGAATCGACCCCAAGTTCTCCTCTTTCACTGTCCTTCTTGCTTATGACAGAATTTTCTATTTACAGCAATTCCATACTTACACTTAAGTGGCTACATGTAAAGTGCTACAGAAGGTGCCAGGGAGGACAAAAGAATTATATATAAGACTCCCCTCCACCTCCTGGCCGCTACAGAAGAGTACAACTCAGCTAGGGATGTTGTCTCAGGGACTCGGCTCTTAACCTTCACTCTGGCTTTCATAGTGTGTAAACGTAGAGTGTGTAACTTTCAAGGAGCAGTTCCTTTATCTATAAAATGGGAAAGCCATCCTCCTCCTATTGTGAAGAGTAAACAAATATAATTATAGTGTCCAGCACATGACAAACACTCAACACTCTTGGTGATTATGGGCATGGAAGTTACCAAATGAATACAATCTTCTAAACAGCATCTCAGTCGTGCTGACGATAAAAACAAAAGGTGATAGATGGGACAAGGGCACCAGCTGGGTCCATTTAGCCTTCTCCATATCTGGATACAACATCCCCACATCTCCTGGGTAACTTGGGTGTGCTCTGTGGGATGTTGGGACATGTCTTCCAGCAACAGCAGTGTGGCTACAGCCAGGCCTATATATTCGTCCAGGTTCAGCATGGACAGAGCTCTGTGAAAAGAGATACCAGCCTTTGGAATGAGAACTCCTTCCCTCAAACCTCTGAAGAGATTCTGGGGTAGGATGAGGTGACCTAAGCTTGCTTCTCAGTTAACCCTCTTTCAAATCACAAGGACATACCACCTTAACTCCATCTTACTGAGGAAAAGGTAACAGTGTCTCACCTCCAGCTCCCTCCAACAAGTGCGTGCCCCCATCCCATGGGCCATCTTCATAAAGAGCTGGGATAGAGTTCTACCCATGGATTTAGTAGTAGGGACCACACAAGGGATGTACTTGCTAGATATGGAAAATAGTAGTTGGAAATCACGTTCGGAGATATGAGTTGTTGGATTTTATTCCTGGGATTCCTTTCTGAGAGCTTGGGAAAAGATGGTAGGTATTTCAGTTCTCCAGCCAACCTGGCGCCACCATGTGGCAACGACATCAACAGTTCATAAATCAGTCAGCTTTCAAATTCTGATTCTCTGTCAACTTTTTATCTTCGAAGAATTCCAAATATTTCATTTTTACGTACCAAATGAGAATCTATTCATTTCTTCTTCATTCATATTTTAATATCACATAATTTCATATTTGCATTACTTTAATTCACTCTATGAAAAAGCTCTTATGGGAACAAGCCAGCCTCCATTGACCAATGTCAGCACTGTTACATCTGGGATCAGGTTTGTTATACCACCAAATAACTAATGATCAGGGTGTGGTGGGACAACCAAGTCACTCTTCACTCAGATTGTAAGGCTGAATTCTTCCATTTTTCTGTACTGGTTTAGGTATAACTACTCTTGATTTGCATTTATTAAAAAGGAGGTAGAAAATCATCAAGAAGTGTCATTTTAGCTTGGGAACTAAAATGATAAAATAAATAACAATAGTAATTAAAATAAAACCAACCTGATAAAACTAAGCAGGATGATGGCTACCCTTGGAGGATAGTGCCTGTAGGTAGGGGTAATGGGAAGATTGGAAATATTCTGGGTCTTAATTAGGGCACTGGTTACACAGGTGTGCTCAGTTGTGAAAATCCATTGAGTGTATCCTTCAGAACTGCACTATTTTCTGGAATTATACTTCAATAGACTGCTAAATTCACCAAGGTCTGATCAGTCATCTCCCTTTAACTTGGCTTTCAGACAAGAGTCTGTGCATACACAAAAATAACTCGAAGGCAAAATCAGGGGGAAGCCTTGTTTTCTACTGGATATTTTTCAGCCATCAGGAATCCCTCTGGGCAGGGAGAAAGGAGACAGGACATAATCTATGCTACTGCTAGTTTAAACAACTGAGCTGAGTATGGCTAACACTTCACTTTCTCAAAAGTGAACAAATTCTGCAGCCAGATAACTCTCCCTTCTTCCACCATACACGCCGATGAAACCCAGACCACATAGAACACTGAGCCACCAAGAGATACACACCATCTCTAGAGACACACTTTGACTCCTCAGAGACACCACACACACAGAGCCTCCCCCCACTTTCCAGAAACAGTCCCACAGACACAGCTTCTGGCCCACAGAGACAGCTCGCAGATGGAGGTAGGGGTGGGTAATTAGGAGAGATGCAGCTGCCCATGGCCAGGCAAAGGAACATGAGCAGGAAGATGGAAAGCAGTATGTTCAAAGTCTTGGTAAACTAAATTTCTCTAAAAAGAAGATTTTTAAATCTGCAAACAGGGTCCCAGATACTGCTGTAAAATTTTTTAAATTACCTCCATTTCCACCTATAGCCCCGGATGCCTTGAACCATCTTCCTTCGACTTTTTAATAAAACCCCAGTACACTGTCACATTTATCATATCCTCTGAACTCCAAGTTCCTTGGTAAGACTGAAAGGCGGTGGGGATTATTCCATTTTATAAATGAAAAAGTTCAAGTTCAAAGATGCTGGTCAGTCATCACAAAACTAAGTAGTGATCTCATGGCTGAGTTTCAGAGTTGTGGTGGGGGAGGCTGAGTTGAAGGGACAAGGTGATAATGGCAAGAGAGGGTAGGTGACCCTCTCCCCAGCCCAGAGCTCTGAGAAGCGCCCACAACACCACAGGCGGCCCCATTGGAGACACCTCAAAGGACCTGGAGTAAAAGAATCACATTCGACGTCATTTACATACACCAAGACTGGCCAGCCCCCAGTCTCAGTCTTCCTCCCCTAAGAAAGTGTCAGGAAAATCAACAAATCGAGATCATGGTCGGAGAGATGGAGAGCATGGAAATGAAGCCAGACTGAAGGCAATTTCTAGGAGCAGATAGGAGCCAACGTTAGCGAACCAAGCTCACAGCGTACTCGCTTCTCTTAGGAAGTCCCTAGGCCCAAACCGGTGTGTGCATTTAAGAGTTTTGAGATTCGTACTTATCCTTGGGGACGGTGCTTATTTGGAAAAATAAAAGAGGAGCAGGACGGATCTAAGAACAAATTCCCCTACCCTGTCAAGACGTCAGTAAATTAAGGAACAAGAAGGGGAGCAAGTGCTCCAAAAAAGCCTCAGGTCTTGGGGTTCCCACCACTGAATCTTTCCGCTCCACGCCTCCATCAGGAAGATTCCCCGCCGTTACCTCCAAATCTATGTAGAGCCCCCTAGGATTGGCTCCCTACCTTTTCAAGTCTGGCGGCTGTGGCGGAAAGGGAGTATGAGGAGGAATCCGGGATGAAGCTGAAGTGATTGCCCCGCCAACAGCGCTCCCCTCCCCAGGCAGCCCGCAGGCGAGGGCCAGACGCAATCCACCTGTGTTCTAACTCTGAGCACCAGCTGTGACCTTGAACGAGTCCCTGATTAGCCCCGTTTTACAGAAATTAAGAGTTTGAAAGAGTCAGGTCCACCGCGCTGGGCTGCTGCGGGGCGCTTACTGGATGGTTTGAGGCGCCCAGCCGGTGCGCCCGTAGCGCAGTAGGTACGCGGTGAACCGCAGCCCAAGCGCTACGTGGCCAGCCGGGATCGGAAAACGCGAGGGAAACGCAGAGGCGAGCTCCCGCCCCAGCAGCGAGAGAAAGAGGCGATTCTGACTCCGCGATGATCCCTGAGCAAGTTCAAGTACCCCCGCCCTTCGACCCTCCGCAGAGGCTGACTGGCCGCGCCTAGGGTTCCTGGCTCCGGACGCGCACAGGGTGCGGGGGAGCGTGAGAGACACCTCCACACCTTCACACACCCACCCCCGAAGTTGCGGCAATGTTGAGGGGAGAGTGGCGCAAAGCTGCCAGAGGGGAGAAGAGGGAGGCGGACGGTACTCACACGGGTTGGCCAGCCTGAAGCAGGTCTGCGACCGGGGTCATCGATGGCGGCCGGGCTCAGGCCACCGAGCCTCGGTGCGCCCAGGGCACCTGCCGCAGCGCGGCGCGTGGATTAGAGGCTGCCGGCGGCGAGGAAGGGGCGCGGGTCGGTCTGCGCGCTAAAGCTGGGCTGCAGCACCGCGGGGGCTCGGCTGCCAGAACTGCAGCCGCTGCGGGAGCCCGGGAACCGACAGGAGGCGGGAGCGCGGCGGCGGCGTCGGCAGCAGAGGCTGCGAGGGAGGCGCCCGCGCCGCAGGCAGCTAGGGCCAGCCTGGCCGCAGCCGCGGCCGACACCTGCTGGCCAGGCCGACAGCCAATCAGAGGCGCCCGGAGCGGGGGAGCGTGCGGAGGCGGGGCGGGGGCGCGTGCAGGGCACCCGGCGGGAGGGGCGGCCCGCGACGCGATCGCGATCGCGCCTGCGCCGGGGCCGGGGGTGCCCGCCGGGCCGGTTCCTCCAGAGCACCTCGGGCGCGCGGGCGGCACGCGCCGGGATGGGCGGGGCGCACCGGGAGGAGGCGGGGCAGGGCTGCGCGCGCCCGGGGCGGGGACCCGCGCCCCTCCCGGGGCTCTTCCCTGCGGCGCAGTGCAGTATTGGGGCCGCGGTTCGGGAGCCCCCAGGTGCAACTCCAGGTCCTTCCCCGATTCTAAGTCAGGCTTTTCCTCTCCCATGCCTCTGAGTCCTGGACCCTCAGTGACCGTAGAGTTATGGGTCACCAGAATCCGGGGCCTGCCTGATTCTAAGACGTGGTGTGGCGCTCCTCCAAAGACAGCTCTTCCCCACTTCACAGTCCCTGAATAATTAAAGTCGCCGTAGTGACCCCTATTTGGATTGCTTTAATTCTGCCATAAATTTACTACGCTAGCGACGCTCATTCATTCAACACATATCAAAGGGGTTCGCGCTCAGGGAGCTGTCCAGACTAAGGCGCGCCCAAGTCTCCCAGACCCCCCACAGCTGCTGAACCGCCGGGTTAGTGAGCCCGCTCTGTCAGAAAGACGCCCAAAGACTGCTGCAAGTGAGGAACGCTTTCGGGCTCGTGCCAGGAGTTCCCGGTCCTGGAAGAATGGCTGAGAGTTGAAAGGTTCCACTCCAGGCCAGGACTTCATTGCGCGTTTGCATCCATCAAGCCAGGAATCTTCCTGAGACCGACTGCCTCAGCCCCAACAACTCGGCTGTGAAAACACATTGTCAATTTTAGCTGCAGGGTGGAAGTCGCTCCACGACAATAAAGCATTTGAAGCTTTTGTGGAGTTACACTGGCGATTTCTAAATCCCTGGAAATCCTCTCAAGCCGGTGGGTTGAGGCTGTTCTCTCCGTGTAAATTTGCGCAGTAGAAATAAATGGCTTGTTTGCTGATCAGTCCACAGCCGGGGAGGGGGGGAACCTTTCAGAAAGGAACTCGGAAGGTAAAGGGGTTAATTTCTTTAAAGATTCTATTCCCTCCCTTAAAGAGATTTTAATGTCTACAAACTGGTAAAGTGGAAAGGAAGTTCTTTTGTTTCTCTTTTGTTTACATTACATTTAAATTTTATTTAGCTATGCTTGATTAGCATTCATGTGACACAAAATTCTAAAACTACAAATGGAACACAGTTAACAATACTCCCTCCCACCCTTGTCTCTCAATTCCGCTTCCTGGGGGCAACCAGTGTGTACCCTCCTCAAGGAAATCGACATACATACAAACATATTTGTCTAATGCTCTTATTTTTATTTTTGTTGTACGAACTTGCACATTGTTTTACATTTTGATCTTTTCCCTTAACAAGATATTATCATGGAGTCATTCCATATCATTACCAAAAACTTTTTCTTGTTATTTTACAGCTGTATGATATTCCATTGAATAGGATATGCCAAAATTTATGTAAGGGCCCCCAATTATGGGCATTTAAATGGTTTCCAATCTATCACTGTTAGTAACAATTATGCAGTGAATAACTTTGTTCTTATGTAACTGTGTATGTGTGGGAGTACATATGAAGAATAAATATGTACAACTGGATCGTGGGGTCAAAGATGATGTGCATTTATAATTTGGATAATGTCAAATGCCCTTCATAGAGATATAAACTCATGATCTCACACAAGATATGTGATTGCATATTTCACACACCCAGTCCTCTGATGGTTCTGAGCCTGTTAGCTCTCATATCCATTCCCAGACCTTCTGACTCTGCTTCATGGGGGGCTTCATTTCCCAGACTCCCCTATCAACTAGCCGATGGGACTCAGCAGTAGGAGAAGAGGAGGGAGAAAAGGAGAAGCCAGAGTATTTCCCATTCTTCCCTTTCAGCCTGGGTGGTGGGAATAGAAAGGTGTCTAGGGCAGCAGCTACTCCTCCTGGGTGGTCCCAAGTCCAGTAGGACAGACTCAGTATGGGCTCAGCTCCCTGGGTTCTGGCAACACCTCCCCTTCTTGTCCCTTTGGCCTGGAGGTGACAGGATGTCCTACCGTTGCTAATCTCCAGTAGTTTCACTGTTTCCTGGGAGTCTTTCAGCCTCTCACATCCTCTGTGTAACCAACTCTGTTTTAAATTCCCCTCATTTTAAATATTCCAAGTGGTTTCTGTTTTTCTAGTTGTACCTGACTGATACTTTTCTGATACACTGACATATCCCTTCACACTGTATGTTATCCAACTTGCAGATCTTTGCCAATTATATAAAATGGTCTCGGTAGCTTGACTTAGCATTTATCTTATTAAAAGTGAGGTAGAACATTTTTACATATGTTTATGAGACACTTGTATTTCCTTTTAAACTCTATATTCATATCCTTTGCCCATTTTTTGGTTTATTTTTGTCAGACCAATAGATTCTTTGATTGTGAAACCAAGTCCTGCCAGTGAAACATTTCATAAAAACATTTGTTTGAAACTAGATTTTCAACATGATTTTACCTCAGGGAGCAGTGTCCAATAAAAAACAGTACTGTGAGCCTGTTGATTGCTATGGAGGGGAGAAAAAAATAATAGGATAAGAATGTTCAGGAGTTGATAATCCATCTGGACAGTCAAAATAAACTTATGTTAAATGATGTTCATTGTTCTGAATTGTTGCAATCAATAAGTGCAAATTATAATAACAAGTCGATTGGCCTTTCCCCTCGACAGTGTATCATGTGATCATTCCCTATCATTACAAGGAGTTTCCCCTTCTTCCTTCCTCCCTCCCTTCCCTCTCTTCCTCCCTCCCCCCTCCCTCCCTCCCTCTCTTCTTCCTCCTTCCTCCCTTCCTTCCTCTCTCCTTCCCTCCTTCCCTCCCTCCTTCCTTCCTTCTTTTCTTCCAGCTATATGATATTCTACTGAATAGGATTTATTATAACTTATTTAAGAGGTCTCAAGAACTCTTAGTTATAAGTGGCAGAAACCCAACTCTAAAAGGCTTAGACATGAAAAGAAATACGTAGGCCCACTTAAATGCAAAGTCCAGATGTAGGTGTAATGTCAGGCACCTTTAGATTCAGGGATTCAGGTGATGTCAGTAGAAGTAGAACTATAGTCTCAGCCTCTCTCTAGTTTGTCTGCTGTCTCTCTTCCCTCTTTCTCCACTACTCCTCTCTGCTTTCCCCCTTGGGTTTTATTATTAAGCTGACTTACTTAATGTAGTGGCATCTGACAGCTCCAGAATTATCTTCTACTCAGTGGCCAGCACCTAAGAATGAGGCAATTCTTCCCTTCCACAGTACACATTAAGTTGCCCAGGAAAACTTATTTGTCTTGCTCCAAACATTAAGTCCAGCCCTTGAGAAGTGTAAAGACTGGAGTGCTATGTTTGTGAGTAGCAAAGACAGTAAGATGGACACAGTGGTTGGAGTAAATCAGCTGAAAAGTTTACCACAGCTCACATACTTTCCTACACATGCCTCCCAACTGGTACATAGTAAGCCACATATAAACACTGGAATTCATTTATGTCCAGATCCAGTGAAGATTTCAGCTGTTTCAGCTGGATGCCAGGCCAACAGGATAAATGTTTGAATGCAGAATGTCAAAGGGTTACTTTCCACATGGGCCCCACGGGGGTTGCATCATGACATGATTGGGTGCTGGGTTCAAAGTTGATTTGGCATTATGCAAATGTTTGCAAAGCTGACTTAATTAGTCAATCCACTTCTTTACAGACTCTCAGAATCAAAGTCCTAACATCTTACCTGAGTTATAAACACTTTAAAAGAAAGACAAATAAATACAGAATAGTTAAGTGATTTGAGCAAGGTCACAAATAAGGCAGGAAGAAAGTACAGATGGATGCCCAGACACAGAGGAATGCAAACGAGCCCGTTTCCTACTGGTAGGTAGTCCTTTGGGTTAGAAACAGGCCCACCTTTCCTTCTTCACTAGCACTAATACTGACTGCTTTTTAATGTTCCCCGTGAAAGGTTTGGCATCTGAAGATGATTTTGGATAACAGTGTGCCTGGCACAAAATGACCTAAAACGCTATGTTTTCAATTCCCCCATCCTGAGCAGTCATCCAGCAAAATGTCGTTGAATCCAGCCATAGCATCACCTCATGACTCACAGGCAGCGCTTGCTTTTCCATTTTCTGCAAGATCTTGACCACCGTAAGAGTTTTAATGGATTCTTGCTTTATCAATAAGAGCTCTTTGACATTTGTGTGCACAAGGAACTGTACCACGTCTTCTTTTAAAATGCGAATCAGACAGTTCATTTCTTAGCCAGAAGATTGATGAGTTTATACTAGCAAGAAAAGGACATGTCTCAGGAGGATTCTGGGTAGAATTAAAAGAGCATTAATCACAAGACTGAGGTGCCAGTCTGAACTCACCACTTCCTGGCTGCATGACCTTGGGCAAGTTGCTTAACTTGGCTGAATCCAAGATTTTTTCACATATAAAATATGTTGTAATCCTCTCCACCACCCTGTAAGATTGTTATTAATTGATACAATGTATGTGCAATCATTTTGTACATGAGATTTATTATATGTTACTTATTTTAAAACTATCATTTTCAACCTGGAAAATGAGTTAAAAATTCTATGCTATTTTGTGACATTTCTGGCATATAAGTGGTGAAATAAAGCTTTCACTCACTACTTCCTTATCAGCCAAAAATGTATCTCGACCTCTTCCATGTCACTTAGCACTTGCTATGTAGTATTAGTTATTTGCATAGATCTCCAATCTCCCCTACTACATTCTAAGTACCTTGAAGTTAAAGCTATGTCACATCTGTGATCTCTACAGGGTGCCTGGAACAATAT